ATTTAATGTTAAAACACAAATCAAAACCACATTCGATTACCGAATATCCTTATTCAAGCAATAGTTGCACCATAACATTATTCTGTATAAAATATATTTACATTTGTATACTATCTGCCACAGAAGTGGGACTTTATACGTGGGGGCTCAAGCACCCACTTACTACGAGATATATAATTTTTTGGTCTAGGCTCTTCTTGTTACATACATACATATACGTACTTCTACTGTATAATGTTATTTCACCGATAACAGAGCCCCACGAAAAAAAAGTTGCGGTACTTTTGAGGAGACACATGTCATCCTATGACTTTTAAGCCACTGATTCTAAATTTAAAGTTAAAACAGCACCTTTTCATTTTAATTATTATTAAGATCATCATCTTTATAATTGTTATTATAAAGATGATGATCTTAATAATAATTAAGATCATCATCTTTATAATTGTTATTATCTCAATTATAACAATTATAAAGATGATGATCTTAATTATTATTAAGATCATCATCTTTATAATTGTTATTATCTCAATTATTACCATTAATATTATGATGATCTTAATTATTATTAAGATCATCATCTTTATAATTGTTATTATCTCAATTATTACCATTAATATTATCAGTATTATAATCATCATCATCATTATTATTATCACTACCTACATCATAACCATATGTAGGTAGTGATAATAATAATGATGATGATGATTATCAGTATTATAATCATCATCATCATTATTATTATCACTACCTACATCATAACCATATGTATTATCATCATTAACTTTATCACCATCAGCATTTATGCCAGTTTCATCATTATTATTACAACCATTACTGTCAAAATCGACACACACTGATACCCTATAACACACGAACTTTGAATCTTATTTTTAGTCATCCATACTTTAAGCCAAGAAACAGAAATTTAAAAACTGTCTCTACCTCAAGTAACTAACGAATCAGTTGAGCTAACGATCTCCTGTTGTATGCGCTAGCAAGGGAGAGAGGGAAGATGAGGAAGTTTGTTACAATGACCCAGTCGTCTCTCACTTTATTAAAACACTTAACTCCAAGTAAAACGAAAACTAATTTATTCAATATTAATTAACTTCTCTTNGTTGATACTTTTCTTTGAAAGTTATGTTGCTAAGTTATCAGTATTTCTAAAAATGTGACTTTATTTATTAATTCAGCAGTGTAAAATCCAAATAAAAACGACGTATTTCCTTCACATACTAAAAAATTAGGTTTTTTGAGGTTATCTCAAAAACTAATCCAGGAAGGTGCTGTTTCAACTTTAAATTCGGAATCAGCGGCTCAAAATCCATAGGAAGACATGCGTCTCTTAAGAAATACCGCAAATTGTTTTTTTTTAAGTTGCTGTGTTTGTATATAACCATACATTTTTTACAAGCTCCTGTAGTCACATCTTCTAACAGTTAAAGGAAGGACGCTTGGATACATTTTTGGAAGGGGTTGCCCAATCACAGTTGTATTTATTTTAGATCTCTGCTGTACTACCTGATTTATAAGTTAGAGAGGTAGGAATAGAAATGACAAAAAGAAGCACCAAAATTTATTGCAAGGCATCTGTCTAAAATAAAAGTTACCTGAAATTATTAATCTTATTCGGATGTTAAATATTTTACACTATCTGAAACGACTTGGTAGTCATTGCATCCACAAGGAAACAAGGAAAAAAAAGTAGTCAGACAACTGCTCCGGAGTTTTTTGTACTTTTTTTAACATATAAATTCAATATGAAAAGAACTTGAGTAATCAACTGTTAAAAAAATTACTATGTTGCGCAATTTTTCATTATTTTTACTGAAAGTTGTTAATTGACCGTAATTAAATAAAGCTTATGTTTTTATTCTAGCTATGTTTATTGCTGCTTTAAAGGCTTATATTTATGTATTTTATTCTATTTATGAAGATTAAAGCTTGTCTAAATTGGGATTTTGTAAAACTTCGACTTGTTTATCTAACTGCTGAATAAAGAGCATGGGAGCTATATTTAGGTTACTTATAATGACGATAATTAAGCTTATCTTTCAATGTTGTTTCTACAATCAAAAGCTATTTATTCACTTGTTAATCTTCTTAAGTTTTTATAATGTTCAGGTCCAAAATTGAAATTAATATTAAAATACGTTCTTTGACTGCATCAAGTGGCAAGCCGAACGAAACGTGCTGCAAGAAAGGATGAGAGCTTTAAATCCCAACAACGTCATATATAAAATGCTACGCAACAAAAAAAGAATGACTGCAGTAGACTAATACATACATACAGTTTTCCGGGCCTAAAAGGTGGACCGTTTCCTGGACGACTGACTGAACGATCTTTAGTGGTGGGACCGCCGGGGCATGGCCACGGGGCGGTTGGTTTGTGGGATAGATACCTGCGTAGGTGCTTAAACGCGTGCAGACTTCCTTAAATCACTTTGCTATATAACCTTTCTACCGATGAACATATTAATAATAATGGTGATGATTACAATAATAATAATGATAGTAATGTTTGATCGTAATGATAGTAATAATAATGACGTCATTGATGATTATAATGAAAATACTACATGCAACAGTAATAGTAATTTAAATAAGTGTGCTGGTGTAATAATGATGAAGATGTAATGAAACTAATTATGATAGTAATTCTAACATCCATGATTATCATTATGATGATGATGATGATGATGATGATGATGATGATGATGATGATGATGATGATGATGATGATGATGATGATGATGATGTGGATGATAATGATAATGATGATGATGATGATGATGATGATGATGATGATGGTATTAATGATGATGAAGACAATGATGATCACGGTGATGATGGTTATGTTGATGATTATCATGATGATTGTGATAATGAAGTTGATGTTAATAATTCAAGTAGCAAAAGTAAATATGGCAATAATGATAAAGGTAATATCGATAATGAAAAGACGGATTTGGAAAATAATAACATTTATGCACTTTTCGTGAGCTCACAGGTACTTTTAAAAATATTATTTGATTTATGGATTGTTTACTTTGATAATATAAACGCAAAAATATGCCAGATTGTTTCGTTGATACATGTAAATATATTTTTTTTTATTACTCCTTGTTGTTAGAGAGAATATTGGTTTCTTGTGCTTAGAGGATTTTGAATGTTAATTACTTATGTTGAAAGCAGCAGTATGGGCGCGCTCTATAAATCGCAAAACTAAGAAGAGGGTAATGTGTAATAGATGCTGGCTTAGTTTTTTTGGTCTTTCTTACACATTTTTAAAGTATTAAAATCGATAAGGTTGCAAAATTGTACTCTTGCAAATGTTTCACGAAGGTACTAGGGCAATGAAGGGGTAATTTTGCTTATAATGCATCTTCAAAAATACATGTTTAAGCTTTTATAAAATGTTAACATCTGTTTCACGTAACTGAGTACACTTCCGCTCTTACACCCTTACGATTACCGGCACAATCAACCTACTGTGTGTTAATAAAGCCAAGTCGTATCTTAGAGGTTAGATCAAAATCACTTATATAAGTTCATTTACTTTGTACACATAAAAGAGTGAGCAAATCGATAATTTTATATCATTAAAAAGGAGGAAATGCTTTTTATTGTACTTTCTTATTTAGATAAAATTGAATTTTTTTTTTAATGCTGTGGGCTTGGAGTTCTAAGTCGAATGAGACGAAAATGATCTGAATAACGTTAATAATGTGAAGACATGACTTTTTGCAGTTGTATACGAACTTTTTTTATATCATTACGATCATCTACATCGTATTTGGCTGAGTTCTGAAAGCAAACAACTTAAGAAAAAGTGAAAAAATTTTATTTTAATCCTTATTGTTATATGCGATTGAGAAAAGTTATACTTTTTTTTATTAAACATATTATTATCTTAACAGTTGTATCAGTTTTATCGTTTCCATGGAAATACATTATAAATTATTTTTTTAAATCATTTTTGCTTCTACCTTCGGAATACGACTTTTCTTTGTTTGCATACAACATGTTATTTCTGCAGGTAGACTTAAGGGCAACAGCACGTTTGGTTACACACACGGGATATTGCTTTGCTACTTGTACCGTAGCTGTCACCTTTTTATACATATATCTGTTGCCTCTTGTGGGTCTAATGAGTACAATATGGAGGTTTGTGTTTGTACTCCTTAATTATGTTTTTATTTTATCTCATACTTTACATTTCCACTCTCAATTGTTCTAAGGTTGAATCTTATTTTCAACTACTGCCTTCATCATTTTCTGAAGTTTGTTTTTTTTACTAGTTTAAAAAAACAAGTTCAATAAGCTTTTAATTTCCAGTCAGCATAAGCCAGTGTGCATATTAATGAGTTCAGCAGATACGAGTAAGCTCCCAGAAGATTTACTTCTTTCTAGATTCACGTTGGTCCTTGCTTTGAATGTTTTTCAAGCCAGTGTGGAAAATTCCGAAAGAATGAAATAGCTACGACAATTTATAAAATAAATAGCTTTTTTTTTTTTAAATCTAAAAATCTGCAGTTATTATCATAATTTACAACTGATAAAAGAAGGAAACATAGAACTGACTGCGCGAACAATGTTGGAGTGCTGCAAGTAAAGCATTTTTGGCTTTCTATCAGGTATATTGAACTGACGAGTAAAAAAATTTATCTATTGTGAGTTACCATAGTAGTTTACAAACATATTTCTTACAACTTAATATTATTAATACACATTTTTACAGTTCAATGTGTTACTCTTTACTATAATCCTCTTGAAACTTTTAATTTAAATATAAATGAAATTCAAATAAAAGTTAGCACTTAAATAACCATGTAATTCAATTTTAGTAAGCCAGTGCAACTTGTAAGGAAGGTTATAAGTTATAAGTATATATTATTCTGATTTTTATTTTTCTGGACCAATTTTCTGTTATCTGGCAAATAATAATTTAAATGATAAATAAAATTTTTTTTGTTCCAAGGTCCCATTTAAAAATGGAAAAAAATTGTTTATCAGTTTTAGATGATCTCAACATGGAAATGGCCATCAAAGCAACTGCTTTTTCATGTATTGGAACAGCTGGGCAAAGGTGCACCACAACACGACGATTAATATTACATCGTAATATTGAGAGACAGTTCATAGGTACATCCTTCAGAAACAAAATCTAAATAAATTAAATTTTATTTAAATGCTTTCATTCTATTTCAGACAAATTAAAAGAAGCATATAGGTTTATTTTGGGCCGAATCGGTGATCCTCTAGACAACGCAACCTTATACCCTCCTTTGCACAACCAACATTCACTTGAAATTTACGAGGTATAGTTTTCTAATATCTGTGATTTGAACCAGTCTAATGATTCATTATTACTGTAGTATTATATTAATAACTAATTCCAAAATTAAAGATTTCTTAGATGTTGCCATATATTGCTTTTTACTTATTTATACTTAATTTGAAGACCAAGAGTAAGAAATACTATGCAAAGTGCTTAGAAAATTTCACTACTGTTAAAAACTAACACAGAATACAAGCATAAGTACATTAAAAAAAAAAAAAAAAAACCTCAATTGTTTTATTTTATTACAGAGAAAGCAAATAAGAAAGAGTAGACTACACTACTAAACGATAGTACGTTTTCCTGTACTGTAATAAGAAAAAAAATAGTTAAATGAACTTTGTTTTACTACCCTACAAACAGAAAAAATGTCTTCATGAAAAGTCATCAAAAAATTGTACATTCATTTCAAAATAAGTCAGTTATAATTATTTTTTTTAACTCTAGGATAACGTCTATATAGTGTACCATAAACAGTGGTTATAAGTATAAATTAATTACGGGGCAGTCACTCTACTAACAAAGCTATTACAATAATAAATGACTAATTTTTCTAAAAGATTTATCTACCACTCTTTACGAAAAAACTTCTTGCATCTCAGAAATAATCCAAACTGTGCATATAATGCTGTAAGCCAGGAATGTAGTTACATAGTTTTCTTAAGAATTTGTATGAAGGATCCCAAAGGCACCTGGGTGTGACCACTGTAGGTGATCCAACAGAAAGGATCTGGACCACCCCACTGAATCCAAGTGTTCTGGTCCCTTAATACTCAACACTCTCAACTATACCCTCACTGGCAATAAGCCTAGAGCCTTTTGAGAGTCAAATCAAGATGCTAATAGAAAAGGCTATTGAATTGTCTTTCTTTCTGAAAAAACGCAAAACACATTAGCCGAGGAGTAACCATCAGGACGATAACAAGCAAGCCAGAAGGTAAGTTTGTAAATATGTATATATTATGAATGTCATGTCCTTTGCAGCACATATAAGATCTGCCTAGTCCATTGTTTTTAAAACAATTTTTGAAGTTATACTTCTATAAGCGCGTTATACGGGGGGCTAAATCAACGATTTTAGATTTTGACTTTGAGAAAAAGTGTGACGGAAGTGGATTTAACTTGATTCTCCCCCTTCACCTCGCCCCTCGGGACGTACTTGGGATCGTATGTGATAGATGTGGGCGTGACGTTACAGATGTTATTAGCGTAGGCAGTAGAATGTTGTTCTAAAATCACCGGAAAATTTGATGAAAATGCACAGTTTTGGACTGGCCAGCCTATATATTATTTTTATTGTATTGTGCCATGATATATTGTTAATAATTGTAAGCTAATTACATATTAGTTAAAATCACACCCAATCAACATAGGTATACTCATTCCCACGATAATTGCATCACCTTTGTACACAACATTTTTTTATAGAAGGTATTGTTATACTCAAAATTATATTGTTTGCCATATAATTTCATAGAACTATAACTTCATACTTGGGTACCCAAGCACCTTCTGTCCCTTGGCTTTTTTCCAAGGACTGCTAAATTATTTTAAGATGTTTATGGTGTGCTTCAAACTCTTGGTGGCTGTTGGTGAGTGTCGCTTCTGTCTTTTGAACAAGATTCCGGTGCTTTAACCGCATAGAGTCTCTTCCTAACCTCAGTCTGCCTTTTGTGCTGGTTTCTACTACATTAGCCTTGACGATTGCGACTACTGCAAGCAGTGGGTAACACGGATCACATTTAGTTTTTTATCAGTCAAAGGAACAAAATCCTGATCCCCAAAGCATCTTAACCACTGTTGACAGTTAATCTGCTTTTGCTCACATGTTGCATCAAACGAATACTGTAATAGGCACTACGCTTAATTATATTAAGAGCTTAATGAACTCTTAACTTCCAAAAGTTCCTTAGCTGGAGAACAAAGTTAATGCTAATAACATCCTCATCAAGACTCAAATTAATAAACTATATGAAAACATAAAGACTCTAGAGACCAGCCTTTGTATTCAATATAAATATAAGGCTAGAGGCCTTGGAGCAATCTTCTTCTGCTGCTTAGAGATTCAAAGATGTTCAAAAGAGATGGGATGCAGTAGAAAGCTGCTCTTTCTTTTCCACTGAGGTAACTTTAGACGGATTTGCAACAGAGATGGTGGATGAACTAAACAGGCCTTCAAATGCCATCCTGTATAATTTTTCTCAGCCTCCAACTAGTTCAAGTTAGGTTTTTGCTAGGAACTTATTAGAAAATATTAGAATTACCAATATTTAACTGATTGTTTGTCTGAACAAATTTTCATCTGCAGCCAGGCAAAAGCATATTCTAGTCTCTCTGTCTAGCAGGAGAGATATTATACATTTAAAATCTCAACTCTCTAAGTTACCTAAGCGTGTCAACGTCACCTCTGATAAAACCAGGGCACAGCAAGCTCCTCTTTGACAACTGGTGGATAAAGTAAAGAGGTACAACTAAGCTACTATGAGAAGAATGAAATGGATTAGTGGCACTTCAATTCTTATTAATAATCAAAAGCCCTTTTATTCATACACAAATGTCTTAACAGTGGTAACAGTGGCAAAATATTTGTGTACCATAAAAATGTTTGATTTTTATGAAATGAGCTCTCTACGATGGAATTCACTTTATCTTTACTTTTTACAACGTCAGGCCTAATAATCTTTACTAAAACTTGATTGAAACCATATACTTTTGACTCCTAGCTACCTCTACCCAACTTCAATATCTACAGACAGGACAAGCATGCAGTTGAAAAAATCCATAGACGTGGTGTTGGTGACTTAGTGACAGTAGAAAAAAACAAACCATTTATTCAAATTCCGTTAAAAATTGACGTTGAGTACGTAGTTGTACGTATATGGGGTGCTGCGCTAGACTTCATTTTGATAGTGGTCTACATTGCTCTAAGCTCTGATATAGTAACCTACTCTGAATGTCATGACTATGTTGAGTCACTCATGAAATTATATCCCTCTTTTAAATTTTAAATATGTAGTGACCTCAATCAGGCCAAATTTTATTGGACTAACTATCCACTTTCTCTGCAAAGGTTAAAGGCTATGCTCCTTCAGAACGGACTTTGAGCCACTTCTCATATTCTCAACATTTGAAACACTTTGGACCTTCAACAACTTTTTTGTCTTATTTCTAGTCATGACTACATACTCAATCATCTGCTTGCACCTGCTATTCTCGTTACTACCACCTAAGTCACTGAAATGATTCTTCCACTGAACTAGCATCACTAACCCTGAACATTCTGCTTTTAATTAGCTCGCCATATTTCTTTAAGTAACCCCACTATAAGACATAGTAACTTCAGAAACTGTAACTACCAAACCAATTGTTTGAAATTTGATACAGTAATTTGGCCGCAACTATTCCACGAAAGATCTATTGAGGATTGCATTTAGTTATTCTACAATATCCTTTACGGCCTAACCGTACTTGTTCATCGTGTCACACATTTTAGGTCACCCGTATCATTTTCACTGTAACAGCTTGACCTGATCCACTAAGAAAGACATACTTATTAGGTTTCAAAACATACCAAAGTATTGACAGGCTTGATGACATTTAAGAGACTTAGAGCTAAATGTCTAAAGCTTTCTCGAACATTACATAAAAAATTTATACTGAAGTCGAAATTAGGCTTAAGATCTAATGTTCGAAAATTTTGGAAGTTCTTAAATAATTAAAAAAACTATGTGTAAAGTGAACGTTCTTCTTTCAATAAAATTTTGTTGACATCTCGCTCCTCAAGAAGGCCTCTTCAAGATAAATGAACAGCCTCATCTGAGTTGATGCATCAAGCACTACCCACTATTCGCAATCTGCACCCACACTTTAACTTTCATATTTCCTCAGCAAGTAAGTTAAAGTTGAAGTTCTGACGCAAATTTCGGATTGTGTAAAGGGCTTAAGTTACTAACTTAGGTAGGACTGTTGATATATCTTGAAAAAGCCTCCTTGAGTGGCGAATCGTCAACAATATTTTATTAAAGTAAAGACATTTACTCCACACATGGCTTTTCATTATTTTATTCGAAACATACATGAAGAAAGAGAAAAAAAACAGGCTCAACTTACAAACAAGTAATTTCCAGATACAATATGTCTTAAAACAGTCCATGCTTCTACTCCTATTGCTTAGTGCAACTTAATCACTGGGCATTTCTTCTCTGTTTATAAGTATGTATCCTCTTTTCTCATTCCAACCATTTAGCACTTTATTGGAAATAATCTCACTCTTACCCCATAAAATATTCTTGCTGCTATCTCACAATTACTAAAGTTAAGCTAGTCAGGTCCAGACCTTATTTTATTTTCTTTTATTATTAATTATTCTTCAAGTACTTGTCACCCACTTGCACTTTTTTTCCTTAATCTCTGACTGCAGGTGTCTTCTTAAATGCTTGTACACTGATATATGTATTTTCCATTTACAAATCTAAGATCCCCATAGCTCACAACTACAGACGTACTGTTCTGCCACGTTTCATACAAAAACTGCTTGATGAACTAGTTCATAAAAGATTTTTTGCTCTTTTTCCATCATATGTTTCACACTAACTGCATGGGCTTACTGAGGGTCACTCAACCATCACAAACCTATTAACACTTAGCCATTTTGCCCCATCTGCATTTAAGTCAGTTGCACAGGTGGACATTATTTTTCTGGATGTGGCTCAAGCCTTTGATTGCGTTCCCCATGACATATTTTTTCTTCTAGCTAACTCTATTGGTGTCGGCGATATTCTATACAGATGGCTGGTCTCATTTCTTACAGGCAGAAATTTAAGAGTTGGCCTTCTTTGCGCCTTGTTAGACCGAACACGCATATTGGTCTGCTATTATCTATATTAGTCATAAATAACTTTCCTTTATATTCCGCATAAAATCATCTTGTTTTATCAATGTAGAGGACAAAAGCAATTTTACACGTATTTTTTGACATTT